AATAACACAACTTCCCTCTTAAGTAACAAAAACTTGAAATTAATCAAGAATTTTTAATACCTTAATTTTCCCTCCTCGTGTGTTTGAAGTAAATTATCCAACGAATATTTTCTATCTAGCATAATACCTCGGCAATTGAAAATATTAGGATACTATGGTGTCTTGGCAGTTGGCACCTGATGGCACTAGCAATTGTTCATTTGAAAATTTCTTTCTAATGCCCAATCTATCCTGACACTGTACTTCATTTAGGAGACGCGACATATGATCTACCACTTAATTTTTAAGATTCTTTTTGTCTCTAAATCAAATTCTTGTAACCATAACACCCACGTTATCAATCTAAGTTTAACAATCTTTTTAGCTATTAGGTACTTGATTGGAGATTGATGAAGATATATCATCACTTTGGTTCCCACCAAATAAGATTTAAATTTATCAAATGTGAAAACTACAATGAATGGCTCTTTTTCAGAAGTAGCATAGTTTGTTTGGACTTTATGAAAGTCTTGCTTGCATGGTAAATAAAGTGGAATACCTTGTTATGTCTTTGACCCAATACAACCCCTATTGAAAAATCACTTGCATAACACATCAACTTAAATGATTTGGATCAATTATGTGCAATAATGATATGAGTAGAAATTAAGGTCTTTTGAGAGTTTCGATGTTTTCATACATTTTTCACTAAAGTGACATATCACATCATGCTACAGCCACTACCACAGAAAACCCATTTAACAATAGTTGGGAAAGATATATAACCATGCGGGACGAGACGTTGTTATGTAAGGGATCATTGTAAGTGAGTTATTTACAATCACAGTCTATTGCCTGTGGTAGTAAACTGGAGCGCGCTACATACAATTGTCATACCCTAAATTTGTCTTACCTCAACGATCTTTAGAATTATTTAATTAAAGATGGTACAATAATATCTGATGGACTATCTTTATTCAAGATCAGGGGGGGTGTATTTTAAATCAAGAAGATTTAGTTGTTATTTAAAAAGGAGGGGTGAAAATTAAATTCGAGAGTATGCAAAAGAAAGGGGAAGAATTAACGTTAGGCTCAATTGAGTTAAAGGAGAAGTTCTGACTGCAAACGAAGAAGTGCTAGGCTGTATGGATCAAGAGCTGACCCATCAGAACTTCTGAAATAAATCCTAGAAGCTCGTCTTTACAGAAACAAAAAAACCGTGAAGATCAGAGCCAAAATCACACATAAGCTAGTATTGATACATAACTGAAATATCAGATCTTCTAGCAGAGTCAAATTGTAAGCAAGGGCAGAATCAGATTATCTTCCACAACCCAAGCTCAGAGTTTTAGAGGCTAAGCAACCCAAGCCCAAATCTGTAGGACGTGCATTGTATCAATTTCAATCAAATCTTCCACAGAGATTAAATTACAATCAAATCTTTTTAATTCTATCCTTAATCTTTACTCTAGCAATAGTCCAAGCCCAAAAATTGAACATTATAAATAGAGGAACAACTTAGCAAACAAAAAAAAGAAAAGAAAGAAAGAAAGGAAAGAATACGGAGACAGAGACAAATTTGCAGAAAAGCTTGCAAAACAAGAAAAATGTAGTAGGAGCAAGAACAGGAAGAACACAAGAGTTTCTGGAAAACCCAGAAAAAGAATACACAGAAGAGTAATCGAGGTTCCAATATATGGAACCCCAGTTTCAATCATCGTCGCTCCACCTTTCATCGCTGCTGTCACCAGAATCTGCAGAAGAAGAAGGAAAGGACAACAAAACACGCACCAGAATCAGAAGCAAAAGCGCCAAAGGGGTAACAAATTTTAGTCAGCTTCTTTACTGTTTTCATGTTGGGTTTAAGATGAATAGGGTCAGAAGAACATAGGCAGGGTTGAAACTATAGAAAACAGATATGTAGATAGTTTTATATTCTGATTGCATAGGTCCACACTAATTTCTTACGTTCAGATGTAGTTTCCCTTTTAGAAGTTCTAACTGGGCTTAACACAGGTTTCATATTTTTTCCTTTATCCAGAATCAACATTAGACTTATATACTTTCTGTCTGCCCTTTCCCAGAAATTATGTGTAGTGGGCTTAGCCCAGAATTTGACACCCCTATGTTTTGATTTTTACTAACCACTTAGCAGCGCCCCTTTCCAGAAGTTCTGCGACTGGGCCAAAATTCAGTCAACTTCCCTGCGTTCCCTGCAGAACTTTTGTCCTCTTCAGAACTTCTACCCCTTTACCCAGGATTATTAGTTATTAGTTCCCCCTGTTTTCACTTAGTGACCAGCAACGCAACCCCCCTGTTCATAAATTATTTTTTTCCTTTATTTTTCTATTCTGTAATTTTTATACTATTATTATAATTATTAATTTTTATTGTGAATATTAATATTATTTATTATATCACTTAAATTATTTTTACATAAAAAATCGCATATTATTTTCTTATATTATTTGCATTAAATATTTTTATATCATGCATTAATAAGATTTTTTTTGCAATTAATATCTATAAAAAAACACTCAACAAATCACAAACTTTTTTTTTGCAATCAAATAATCTAAACAACTTTTTTTGCAAAGAATTTCAAGCAGATTTTGACTTACTGCGCATTTAGTCAAAATCTCCGCAATCACTACTCTCGATCAAGTGCGAGGTGATTCAAAATACGTTTGCAACCCCTAAAAAACACAAACCCCACACGAATTACGAATTGGTACTCTGATTCCTCTTAAGAGGATACGTAGGCATACGATCAAAAATCGTAGCGAGTTCTCCTATAAAAAAAACAAACTCTTTTCCCTATTAAAAATTAAAACCCCTATTTTACCCAAACCTAACCCTAAAACCTAATATCCTTGTGAACAAGGTAGATGAAAGGTACCTAACACCTTCCTTTCGTCTAAAGAAGTTCGAACTTAGAATCTTTGTTTACAATTTAGGGTTTTCTATTAGACGCTCTTCCTTAGGATAAAAACTAGTAGTGGCGACTCTTAATTTTAAATCCATATGCTACAACAATCACGGTTGAATAAAACAATTGTTGTTGTATGCGCTACATACAACCACAGTTGAATTAAACAACCGTTATTGTATGTGTTTTAATAAATAAATAAAAAATGCAGCAGTAACACAACAACATCAACAAGAACAATAAGAACAACAACAAGAACATCGAGAATAATAACAATAAAAACAAAAACACCAAAAACAAGAAGAACAACAACAATAACAATAACAAGAAGGAGAAGAAGAAGAAGAAGAAGAAGAAGAAGAAGAAGAAGAACAACAACAACAACAACAACAACAATAACAACATCAACAAGAACACCAACATAACAACAAGAAAAACAATAATAACAACAACAATAACAACAATAATAATAACAAAAGAAAGAACAACAACTATAATAACAAAAAAGAACAACAAGAACAATAATAACAAAAAAAAGAACAACTAACATTACTAACTTTAATCCATACTTTCTTTGTCTCTTTCAAGTTGAAGAAGAGATGATGAAGTTCATAGATTTGTTAATGAAAGATATTATGTTTTCGAGTTTTGTTTATAGAAGAAATAAGGCACTCGTCCATTAAAACTTTTATTGATGTTTCAATAAAATCTGAAAAAATAAGGCACTCATGCATTTTTGAAAAGTTGAAGGTGCATTACATAGCCCAAATGGTATCATAATAAAAGCAAATGTGTCATAAGAGAAGGTGAGCATTGTCTTCTCTTGATCATCAGGGTTTAGAGTTTAGGATTTAGGGTTTAGAATAATCACAATGAAATAATGGTACTCTTTCCCAACCAACATGTCCAACATTTAGTTAATGAAGAACAATAGAAAATAATTCTTCCTTGTGAGCTTATTCAATTTTATGTAAACCATACATATCTGTCATAAACTCATTTTTCTCATCGGTGAATACTATCATATCACACTTCTTCAAAACACATTGCACATGATAGAGAAGAGGAAAAAACGAGACCAGTTGCTAGAGGTTTTCAACACATAGTCGGTTCGACTATGAGAAAACATTTAGTCATCTTGTCAAATCTAGCACAATGAGGATCATTTTATACATTGTTGTGCATTTCAATTGGGAGGTCAAACAACTTGTTGTAAATAATTCATTTCTTAATGGTTACCTCAAGGAAATTTTCTTTTTATGCATAGGAAGGATATTCCGACTCAACTAACAAACAAACTCAGCCAATTATATTATGTGTGACAATTATTTCTAGAGATATTAATAGAATTAATTTGATTCTTTATTTGTATTCGTGTAACCGTTGACAACATAATGGATCATACCTCCATGTACATTTTAATACATCGTGTAGCTGAGTAATATAGTATATTCTTTGATATTTTAACTTAGAGAACCAAAACTCATTCAAGACACATAACAAACCCACTTATTATATAGCTTATTTTATAAAAATAAAGTATTGTTGGTAGTTTCCATTTGATTGTTACATATTCTTAAAATAATAAAAACCTAAACATAATCTAAAAAATGCTTCAAATAAGAAAATATTTTAAATAGTGTCTCTTAAAATCAACTTTGTATGACTGTATATTTTTAAATGTGACTTTTCATTTTGGCAAACAATCACAAAAAAATTTAAGTTTTTGTAATTAAACTAATACTTATTTTTTGTCTTACATAGTTGTTAAGTTTCAAAACATTCTCACATACTTATACTATCAGTATCCACCATACACCTGCATAACTATACTATGACAACCATTACATGAATACTTCAAAACAGAATTTCATATTCCACAATGTTCATTAAGTTCAAACTCAAACAAATTAACATGCAACAAACTTCAAACCATAACATACATTCAGATAAACAACAGAAAACAACAATAGAGAGAACAAAACTCGAAAGAGTTGCGTGTTTCCATATGTAATACAAAATGAAAAGAATTTATCTTGACACAACCGCTGCAGAAACAACATCCATGACTAGATCTATAAAGAGACTCACTCTATAGAATAATCATAATGGGAATCTTTTCGATAATATTAAAGCCAAGAGGAGAGTGACTTCTTTTGTTGCATGAATGTTTAACTTTATCATATAGAATTGTGTAATTTGAGCTTCCAATGTTTCTAAAGTAGCAGCCTTCATTACTTTCATATCTGTAATCTTGCTGTGTTTCTCCCACTCCACTAACAACCAGATTCTTCTTAACCACCATTTTACCCTGGCTATCTTGCACATTATTTAGATAGCTCTTACAAAATCCAGAATCCTCGCTCTTAGACTTATTCACATCAAATCCTAATGTAACATTCGAAACAGCTAAATAAGTTTCATTATCTTGGTCTAGTTCATCTGAGTCCAAGTAAAGAGAAAAATTTCTGTTTGTATCATCGACCAAATCTAGATGCGACCATGGAAGTTTAACACGAACACTGTCGTTGAACGATATAATTTGATTCACAGTTTGTTTCTCTCCATCCTTCCTCATTGCCATTGAACTGTAGTAAGTAAAATCTTGAACAAAACTAGTTGTGATGTTACCAAAGGAGGATCTAATCCATCCACTAGACAAAATGGATTTCTTTGCATTAGTCAAGAACGTTCCGTTTAAACCGTTAAAATCGGATACTATAGATTCAACCAAAGGTTTGTCAATGTGATTCAGTAGTACTCCTTCCGTTCTAACGCTCTTTGCGTCCAACCAAAGATGTAAATTTGCATCAATATACCAAACATTCAATGCATTTGTTACCTTGAACCCAAACAAATGATTCTTTCCATCCAATATTGTCCCCAAAAAAGGCGTAATTTCGATATCATAGGATGGAAGATCAAATGAACCAATGCCGGTAATAGGTCTCCATAAGAGAGGATTAACCCCTCCAGTGTAGATCACAGTAAAAGGCCAAACAGAACCAACAAGTTTATCATCAAGAGTAACTAAAACCTCTCTAAAGGGTCCATTACCGGGTGAATTAGTTATGTTATTTGCAGCAAGATATTCATTTGGAGGATTACTATACCAAAACTCATCATTCTCATGAAATGAAACATAAACCTCTAACACAGCCCTATAAGCATTTTGTGGAACACTGAATTCCTTCAAAGCAACATCAGTTGAATTCTGAATATTGAACCACAACCCATCATTGAGTGGGAGATTTCTTGAAATGGGCAGGATCAAATCAGCATGAGAATCAGTTGTAAATGCTAAAGGATTCAACTTTTTTGTCTTATGATTGTTGACGAGAAAAGGGTAAAAGTGAAGAGTGATATCAACATGATAAACACCGGTGTAAGTTTTGTCGACAATATTTCCTAAAAAAATAGCTAGGGTTTGATTCTGTTGATGATGATTGAATAACAAAGAATGATACCTTGTGATGTCTTTTTCAACACTCCAAACAATTCCATTGGCTCTTGGCTCTGCTGTACAGCTTCTGAGTAACTCAACACCACTAAGCCAAACACCGAAAATGCGATCAAATTGTCTTCCTTCACACGTTGCTTTCCATTCAAGAACAATTTTGGAAAACTTAGTGGATGAGCAATGTGAGGGAGAGGTGTAATTAGCAAAAACTGGAGGCTTTCCATATGTGTAACCAAAATCATGGTGAAGAACATGGTATGAACAAGGTTTAGTTTTTGGGATTTCAATGGGTTTTGTAACCTCAAAGTATTGAGTAGGTGATTGTGGAGTAAGAGAATCATGTGAGGATGTGGATTGAGAAAGAGAATCCGAGTTAAGTTGTTTGATTTTGTATAGATTTGATGCAGAAATGGGGTGGGGAAGAAGAAAGAAAAAGAAGAAGAGAAAGGTGAAGAAACTGGGGTCCATTAGAGAAGAAAGCTATGAAATCGTACGTAACAAGTGAGGATAGAAAAAAACAGAGTAAAGTGAACAAGACAAGACAACTAATGTATGGTCTAAACTATGTTTCTAGGTGGTGCATAAAGATGTCACAATTTTAAATTAATTTAAAAAGGCTAGGATAACAATGAAATTTCACCTATCTTCGCCATTAACTCATGTCATGCATCTCGTTAGAAAAACACATGATTTTCTTCAAACTTACTATTAAACACTAGTTGTAGTTAAAAATATATAAGATTCAAATAACATATTTAATTCTAAAATAATTAATTATATTAAATAATTATATAAAATGAAAAGAAAAAAGAGAACCAATTATATGGAAAAGGAAAAAAATTTAAAATTTAAAACTTTAAAATAAAAATTATAAATTTCAAATAAAAATCATTGTTGATTAAAATAAAATAAATATTATGTTGAAAATAACTCATAAAATTAAATATTTTATTATTGTATTCATGTGCTAATTTTGTATGTAATAGGTAGTTTAGTCAATTGAATAATAGTTGTTTGATCATAAAAACTAAATGTATTAAGAGTCTTCAGAAGTCTGTCCTTCAGAACCTACGTCTTCAGAGTTTTTTCTTCTAGAAGCATGATCACCACCAGAAACATGATCATCTTTAGAAGCTTGTCCTTCAGAACCTACGTCTTCAAAGTTTTTCCTTCTAGAAGCATGATCACCACCAGATTTAAAATCTGGATAAGAATCAGATTCACCATCCGACTCAACTTCAGAGTCTCCAGAAGATTCTCCATCTTCTGACTCTAACTCACCTTCAGAAGTTTCAAGTTCTTACTCATCTTCAAAAGCAGAATCTCCTCCAGATTCTGACTCATCTTCTGATTTTTCTTTAGACTCGGAATCACCTTCAGACTCTGACTTGTCTTCAGCTTTAGAGTCATCTTCTAACTCTGACTCATCTTCAGAAACCTCTGATTCAGACTCATCTTCAGAATCTTCAGATTCATCTTCTGATTCTGACTCATATTCAAACACTCCAAAGTCTGGATATTCAAAGTCATCTTCTTCCCCTTCAGAATCAGAAAATAACAATCGCATTAATTCCTCTTCAGATTCATAAGCCATCAATAGCCCATGTTCATCATCAAAATCTCCTCTGACTATTTTTGCTTCTTCTTTGTTTGACCAACAATATTTAGCAAAGTGGTCAAACCTATTACAATAGTAACATTGAATCATTCTCTTGTCATACTTCTCCTTCCCCTTATGATGTTTCTTATCATTAGAATAGAAGAATTATGACTTCTGAGACCTACCATGTTTTTTTACTTTTGGTCCTTCTTGACTAAAGAAGCTTTCAGAGCCTGCTCAATCTCTCTCTCATAAGTTCTTGCAGTCAGACGTAACTCTTGCGTCTCTAGACTGCTTTGCAGCTCTTCTATTCTCTTGGTGTCCAGATCTTTAGAATGTTCAATTGCTACAATAATATAATCAAATTGAGGAGTAAGAGACCTCAATATCTTCTTAATGATTACTTGTTCAGAAAGAGTTTCTCCACAAACTTTTATATTATTAGTAATCAGAATCCCTCTGGAGATGTACTCATAAACCTTCTTGTTGCCCTTCATGTTGAGATTCTCGTACTGCTTTCTTAGGGACTAAAACTTCACCTTTTTCACTAATGTGTCACCACCATTACACCTAACCAGCGTGTCTCACGCAGCCTTCGTTGTCGTCAAATTAGAGATTTTCTCAAACACATTCACATCCACACACTGATGAATGTAAAGCAATGCCTTCTGATCTTTCTTCCTTAGATTACGCTGAGTATTTCTTTGCGCATCATTTGCATTTTCTAGAAGTGCAATCAGAACATAATCATCGGTAACAAACTCAAGAACATCTTGAGCACCGAACAACACGTGCATCTGAATCATCCATCTACTCCAGTTCTTGCCATCGAAAACTGAAAGTTTGGTACTCAAACTATCATTTCCGTTCATCTTCAACCTTATACAAATCACTCAGATCTCACTAAATACAGTATTTCTCAATCCCACAAAATCAGAAAATGTGATTCTATTACGATTTCGTTCAAGTTTCAACACAAATTCAAGAAACGAAATCAATCACACAACGTCTCACTGTTTCACTCGTGTTTCTCGTGTTTCCATGTGGATCTGAACTAGAGCTCTAGATACCAATTGTTAGTGCACAAGGTGATGACGAATAAAAAAGAATAATTAAGAGAATATATTTATTGCTCTACAATGACGGCTACAAAAATTATAAGAAAGAATATATTACAAATGACAGATACCACTAGTTTATTTATACACAAAGTAAATTGTCATGTAAGCCCTAACAAAAGATAAACTTAAAGACTAAGTTAACAAGCAGACTAAACTTAATATCTACGCTAACAAAATAAACTAGAACCCCAAAAATTAAACATATTTTTGAACATAACCTCAGAAACTTTTGCTTCTGACTAACAATCTCAAACACTCTACTACTTTTGAGCAACAATACTTCTAACTCTAATAACTTATGAATATAAATTACTTTCGACACAAAATAAATAAATAAAATCAGAATAGTATTTAAGAATAAATTAATTTATACTATTCAACTTTCTAATAACTCAATAAATTATATAGTAAACTAGTCGATAACCCGTGCTATCGCACGGGGCCGGTCGAGAATTCATAAAACGTGGAACTAATGTTGTCATGTAACAGTAAATTCGTTTTTATGTAATTCAATAAAAGTTCATCTAATTCGGCCAAATTCAGTGTATCAAACTTATTTGACAACATTAAAAAAGTGGTCAACATTAAAAAAGTGATCCTCCAGGCATCTACCTACTCATGAAACTTGTTATTCCCTGTTGCAGAATTCACCCAAAGTGTTAGTTCAACACTCCTGCCACAACTAAGAATAACAACATTGCAATTAATTGATAATGATACATTATCTTAGAAATCTACGGTGAAGTACATCTTTAAATCTGGTGAAAGATTCTTTTTCGTGATGCTTAGGATTTAATTACCCTAAATTATCAAACAAATAGTACTTGCAAGAAGCATTCTCATGAAAGAGATTATAATGTCAAGCACTTGAATTAAAAAACAAAAAACAAAACTCAAAATCATAGCACAATTGCTCGTGAATATGTGTATATAATAAGAGAATCACGTACACCAATTACAATAAATTACTGACCACAAACTCGAACATGCAAATAAGGAGCTTTCATCTCAGCGTCCAATCATTGAAGAATAGACCGGTCAGCCCTCGTGATAGAAATTGTTAAACCTGAAGGAAAATGACATGATAATCAGAATTTTTAAATGAAATCGGCATCCAAACTCTGAGTGTGCATACATTGTCAAACTCTTTCAAAAGCTCTTGAGCCTTAGAGCAAGCTTATCCTAAAACAAATACAAAGTCAAAAGATGATAAAATATTCCTAACAATAGCATGACAGAAGGGGTGTCTAGCTTCGCAAAATAATGTATCATGATAATTTTCTCAAATATTTGAAGCATGTCTACATTGCAGTAATACACATGCACATATTTGTTGATGTTATCAAGCTACGCTTTACACTCAAGAAATAATAGAATGATACATTCTAAGGAAGCAAAAATATGTTCTCACTTACTGTTTCTTCAAAGCAACATATGAATTCAAATATTTGATCTGCAACGGAAAATGCAAATATGCTAACCACCCAAAACTCGTCCATCAACCCCTGCAAGAGAAACATATAGACTGCTTGGTCTTTTATGTTAACCCATAGTATATATAGGGGCATATCGCCTAATAATGATCAAATTGACCCTGCAGTGCTAAATGAAGTTTTGTGAAGAGAATTGAACCCAGGGAGATTGATATATAATTAATCGGTTATTTTGGCAATGAGAGAGATAAAGTGGGAGTATGCATTGAGCCAAGAAAGATATAATGCCTCACATGAAATGGCTTTTCATTTCTCAAGGTGACCATATGGCCATTGAGTTTCTTTGAAGTATTTAATATTTGAAATTTGAAATCCAATTAGCGTGAAAAATCGCTTCACCGGAAAGTCCACCTTACTCTCGTTGGCCAAAATATCCATAAAACTTTTCTTGGAACCGACATTATCCAACTCTAAGTTGTTGTTTTTACCAACATTGTGAAAGTAATTTCTATCTACCCAATTTTAGAAACACCATCAAAGACTAAACTACTCTTTGAGTTGATGTGCAATCCTTCATCTTCAATAATGGGAATATTCACATTCTTCATCATAGAATTGAAATCAGAAAAATCAGAAGACCAAGGAGCACTTTCATTTCCATATGGAACCAAAATTGACTGAAACAATAAATAATTAACACCAAGTGCTGCCAACAGACAAAGAATCTCATGTTTCCATATGACACAACTCATGAAAATATAGAAACATGTTAACTTGTGAAAACTAAGATAACCCTAAAATCACTTCAATCGTCATTTTTTTCCCGAAAATGAACTTCAATCACACCTAATTCAGTTAATTGATAGAAAACTTGAAAAGAAATCAAAGGGTCCTAAAAAATTGGAACTTTAGATAATTAGAGAAAGTTGATGTATTGCAGATCAAGTAAATAAGAAAGAAAAAAAACAGAACACAAAAGAAACAATTGAAGTTTAAAATATTAATGTTTCTTAAACATTTATGTTGATTGAAGTAACTGTACTAACCTCAGGGAAGTGTAATTATAGTTCACTTCAATCTTTGTATATTGCTCTCTTTTCGATCTTCAACTTTCTCAGAAGTCAAACAAAGAATCACTACTCAATATTAACACTCAGAAGAAGAAAAGATTAAAGTTACTAACTTCTGAATCTAAAGGCAACAACTTGCTAATTTTATAATAATTTGCATAAATCATTAACATTATTCATGTATAAGCTATCCAAAAAAATAATATTTATTTCTCACTTTCTTTTTCACTTTAATTTTTGTAGA